GGTGATCATCGTGACATACTTCAACAGGAAATTCTGATTCAACACGTGAAGGAGGCTATCGAGGTGGAAGTAGGTATATCGGATGAGCTAATACATTGAATGAATGGGATCGCTTACCCCTCAAACCAAGTGGACTTGAATGACAATCAACCCGATATTTCATGTGAATTAATGCAACAAGGAAAATCTTCTGGTGAATGCCCAAATGGTGGAGACGTAGAGTACGAGCAGGAAAATATGGCATAAGCAGAAACAACCATATCTCAACGACAGAAAAAGAAAAAAGTCATAATGCTGTCCGAGGTTCTTACACGCTCTAAAACCTCTTCTAAATGATGGTCAAATTTTTGATATGGAATGTAAGAGGGTTGGGAAACTCAACAATATTATGTCTAAATTTAATCTACATGTTGTAGCAATTCTGGAACCTTTGCAGTCAATTTTGAAGATTAGAAGATGGGCGTGCAGGTTACGTCTCCCTAATTATTTTTCTAATCATTTATTTAATGGGAAGATCTGGCCTTTTTGGGAAGATGACTTGTTATTTGAGGAAGTAGCGATTTCATGTCAGCATATTATTGGTATGTTTACTAAGCAGGGGGTCTCTTGTCTAGTCACTATGGTTTATGCTAGCTACTTTCAAATTGGGCGTGTAGACTATGGAGGGATTTGGTTTCTCGACAATGCCAAGACATACCTTGGCTAGTTGGGGGCGATTTCAGCATTTTTCGTAGTGATGCAGAAAAGGTTGGTGGGATACCAAAACCAGATATCTCAAAGTGGGAATTTAACGACTGTATATCAAATGCTGCCTTCAAGAACTTCAGACAGAAGGTACTATTTTTACATGGTGTAATATGCAAGAAGGGAGAGGTTGTATTTGGGAGAAGTAGGACAAAATCTTAGTTAATAATTCTTTCTTAACTCATTTTGGAGTGGCTTGTGCAAAGGTTTTATCTAGATCTAGTTTTGATCATTGTTCACTGTTAGTTCAATTTTTGGCGCAGCAAGAACATTATGGACCACCACCTTTTTATTTTCAATGAATGTGGGTAGACCATGCAGGCTTTTTACCTCTTGTAAAAGAAAGTTGGGAAAAACTAACTAGAAGCTCAGGTTTATTCAAACTTGGAGAAAAATTGAGGAGGTTAAAACCAATTTTGCGAAAGTGGAACAAAAGCGATTTTGGGCATATCAAATGTTGCATAGTGGAGAAGGACAAAATTGTTATGCTTGAAGATCAAGTTTTAAATTTTGGTAATGCGTGGGATGAAAGGGAATTAATTGCAACAAGACTTGATTTGAAGGACTGGATTCGGCGGGAAGAGGTTTTCTTGGCACAAAAAAATAAAGTGAAATGATTAAAAGAGGGGGATGCTAATACCAAGTTCTTTCATGCGTCAATTGCCTAACGTCGAAAAAATCTTGGAATTACAGCATGACTTTACAGTATGGATCAACACTTGACAGCCCGTAATCAGTCCATGACGGAGTAGTTGATTATTTTCATGAGTTACTTACCATTGATAATGTCATACCGAGGATGGAATTGTTGGATTCATTGATTACACCGAGCTTATCATTGGAAGATAATATCAAATTGTGCGAGGCTCCTTTTCCCGAGGAAGTGAAAGCTGTAATGGGAAGCATTCCACAGGATAGTAGCCCTGGGCATTATGGTTTCTCATCAAGTTTTCACATGAGCTGTTGGAATATCGTTGGAGAAGATGTTTGGGAGGCAACGGTGGATTTCTTTAGTGGTTCTATGCTCCCCAATTTTTACACATCAACTTATATTGTTCTTATCCTGAAAGTCAAGGTTCCAGGCGGCTTTGGAGACTTCAGACCCATTAGCTTATGTTCAGTGATCTACAAATGCTTTACCAAGGTAATTGTTAATAGATTGAAACATTTACTTCCTAAATTTATTTCGAAGGAACAAGAGGCTTTCATTGAGGGTCAGAGTATTTTCGACAATATTGCTCTGGTACAAGAGCTACTTTAGAGTTTTAACAGAAAGATACGAGGTGGGAATGTAATGCTTAAAGTAAACATGATGAAGGTGTATGATAGGGTTGAATGGAATTTCTTGATGGCAATCCTAAATGCTTTTGGGTTCTCTACACAATTTTGTTAGTTAATACAAAATTGTATTAGCTCACCTTCATTCTCGTTGATGATGCATGGTACCTATCGAGGCTTTTTCAAATCTTCCCGGGGAATCTGCCAAGGTGATCCCCTTTCTTCATACTTGTTCATTATTGCAAAAGAGACTCTTACATGCATGCTACGACAGAATTGTTTGGATCAATGCATTGAAAATTATTCTCTTCCTGTTGGAGCACCTCGTATATCTCACTTGCTATATGCTGATGATCTAATTATTTTTGTAATGGAAGCAAATTGTCTATTAAAGCAGTGGTAGAGGTTTTAGGCACTTATGAAAATATGTTGGGGCAGAAAGTGAATCATAAGAAATCAGCTATATTTTTCTCGAAGCACATACCCTTATCGAGAAAGAACAAACTACTCCAGTTGAGTACACAAGAGTCTTTTCCAGTTACCTATATGGATGCTCCAATATCTCCAGGTCATTTGTGTATCAGACATTTCGAGCCGCTGATTATGAAGGTGAGAAAGAAAATATCTAGCTGAAAATTTTTACTTTTGTCCGTTGGAGGAAGATTAACTCTTGTAAGCATGTCCTTTCAAGCATGCCTATACATATTTTATTAGTCATGTGCGTACCTCAAGGGGTTATTCTTCAGATTCACTCTTTGATCTCAAATTTTATTTGGGGAGAAGCAAATGGTAAAGTTAAATGTCATTGGGTGAATTTTGGAAATATTACCAAACCTTTTTCAGAATAGCTTAGATATCCGTGACTTAGCAGAAGTACAAATGGCTCTAAAAACAAGATTTGCTTGGAAAATTTGCTTCTCAGATTCTCTACTACACGAGTTTCTAAAAGCAAAGTATTTTCCTCACAACTCTTACAATGAGATTCAAATATCAGCTTTGAACTCACCTTTTTGGAAGAGCATAGCAAATTTGATACCTATGGTAATAGAAAATTCGGTATGGCATATCAAATGCGGAGAAGTGAATTTCTAACAAGATAATTGGTCTAGTAGGGGACCGTTATCAAACCTGGTGAAGGTAGTAGAACCTGATTAAGCTTAAATGCTGTGTTAACCTCAATGGGGTGGAATTCACAAGATAATTGGTCTAGTAGGGGACCGTTATCAAACCTGGTGAAGGTAGTAGAACCTGATTAAGCTTAAATGCTGTGTTAACCTCAATGGGGTGGAATCAAGATGTCTTGGCAGATCTAATTGGGAATGAGTTAGCTAAAATTGCAATAGAACACCTTCCAATGTTACGTGAAGAACTGGATATAGCTGTTTGGAAACCATCTCCAGATGGTTTGTTTAGTACTGGTAGTACTTGGGAGCTTATACGAGCTAAAAGAGAGTGTGTAGATTGGGACAAATGGGTATGGCATCCATTAATTCCAAAAAAGATCTCGTTCATTACTTGGGAAGCTATACATAATGCTCTCGTTGTGGATGAAAGAATACAAATGGTGGGAATCTCCTTAGCCTCAAAATGTGTATGTTGTGTTAAACCTCATATTGAGTCTCTAGACCATTTGTTGGATGGAAGCGATCTGGCAAAATTCCTTTGGGTCCAGTTATCAACGGTCATAGGCATCTCTCACATTACATCGATGGGTTGGAGGCAAAGGATGAATTTTTGGTTCTCTAAGGCATCACAAACGTCCCAAGTAGGTATGATTATTGGCTTTTCCCCTGTTTTGATTTTCTATGCTATTTGGATGGCAAGGTGTCGAAAAAAGATGGAAGGTGTTGCTATTATTTGTGATCATGTTTGGGCTACAGTGAAGTGGTGGATTGGTGAATTATGTGCTAATGCGGCTAAGGTGTCTAGGCTATCTTTGTCTGATTGTATTACCTTACGAACTTTGGGTATTCAGATTCGAAAATCGCTTAATAAAGTCACTAAGTTTGTTCGTTGGATACCTCCACTCCCTACTTGGATTAAGTTAAATATTGATGGATGTTGTATAGGAAATCCTGGTAATTGTGGTGGAGGTTGGGTGATCAGAGCTGATAAAGGGGAATTTATTTGTGCTTTTCATACGTTCTATGGTCACGGTACTAACATATGGGTGGAGCTAAAAGCAATTTTGGATGGCATTCACATATGTGCTAAACTAAACTTCCCAAATATGATTATTGAAAGTGATTCTCAAGTTGTTGTGAATTGGTTCCTCAACAAAAGATGCACAGGATGTAAATTTTGGAAAGAATGCGAAGAGATAAATGATCTTATGACGGGAAGAGAAGTGATTTTTAGGCATGTTTTTCTGGAAGCAAACTAAGTTGCAGACGCTTTATCTAAAATTGGGGTAAGTGGTAACACGGTAGTATTTCATGATATGGTTGATCTTCCTGGGGCAGTCATCAACTTGATTATAGCAAATATGAATCATTTTCCATATGTACGAATTTATTAATAGTTCAGTATTTATGGTTGACAATTTGCGATGTGAACTTGTTTTCATAGTATTCCTCCACCATACGTGAGGGTTGATCTATAAAACTTGGAGGTATCTATTTAAAAAAAAAAAAAAACATAGTTAGCAAATTTATTTAGAAAAATAAAATAAATGTGACTTATTTAAAATAAATAAATTTAAAACAATTAAGGAATTCAGTTCTTGATCTACAATCGAAAATTGAGCTGAACCAATCAATTCTCAATTTAGATATTCGTTCGGATATTTAATTTAAGAATAATCGCTCAGCTTAATTTAGTTTGATTCGGATCCCGTTCGATCCGATTCAATTAGAGAATTTTACCCAACCCAATAAGTCGATTAAAAATGAGTTTGATGAAAATGAAATTTTAAAGAATGCTTGAACCAGCTTGACATTAATTTTTTATTTGTTTTCTGTAGATAAGATTCGTTTTGTGTGGACCCATCAAACTCTTGATGCAATATTTTACTTTCGTGAGTAGTGCCTTTTGCTCTAGATGTTCTTCAGCAACATATTATTATACTTACCCACAAACTATTACTGGGGACATTCTTATTTGTCCGTAGTTGAATTGTGTATATTTTCCTTCGTTCAATCATGCCCTGGTGGAATTTCAGATCCACCTTTTGTTTTAAGATTTTCAATGGTTTCTCTCCGTCTCAGGCAAGTTATCCTGCTGCTGTGCCCTGGCATAGGTTTTATTTTCTGAGCTTATGGAGATTGTGAGCAGTTTCGATTATTTCTGAGTTCTTTGTAGGATGGTCATGATTTGAATTTTTTTGCCCCGATTTTTGTGATTGATGTGAATCACATCTTGTATGATTCACATTCGATTGTATGAAGTCTATGTTTTCGGATGACTATTTTATGGAAAGAATGTGATTGACATTGGTACTATTGCGTCAATTCTCTAATGAATATGTCCTGGAAATATTATTTTTTCAAATTGCTTTGAATCGTGGAGTTTTGCTGGTTTTATTGTGTGAATTGTAGTTGCATGATTATTTTGATTATTTTTATATATACTGTAAAGTCAAAAAGTGTAATGTGCTTGGGGGAAGATGTACATTCTAGGCTGGTTTTCTTAAAGTGTAATAAGTTGAATCTATCTTTTTTGATAATGAATAATCATATTGGAGGTTGATTATGTATTTGTCAATTCAGGGGCCGGAAACTTCTGCAGTCACTACTGATTCATTTTCTGAGCTCCAACCATTGATGAAATTCAAGAACCAGCAGGTGGATAATTGCTCGTGCTTATAATCTGTAATAACTTAAATTAGTTAGTCGGAAAAAGAAAAAAGAAAAAAAAAATCAATTGTGTTCTCTATGTATTGACTTTACTTCCACTGATGCAAGAATAATTGTTCATTCTTGGTTTTCATTCTTGTATTGCAATTGTAGAGCAATGCATGATATATTTCTTATTAACATCCAAAATGGACCTGAGAAGGAATATGAAGATTTTATGCGATGTGAATAATCAATTTAGTATACACATGCTTTTTAGAGATTCAACACAGACATTTCATAGAAATGCATTATAACTGGTAAAAATGATAAAGTTAAGATTGAAGGTGTATGTATGAATGAAAATCCTCATAAGAAGAGTTGGGGGTAGGACTGCTGTCTATCTTTCATTATAGCTAGAGTATTATTCTTTCCCTCAAGGAACACTCTTGTTTGTTTGTCTTTTGCAAACCAAAAGGCATTGTGCAGCTGCCATCATTTATTCAATCTACCATATAAAGATCAGAATCTTCACATTTCTTTGGACTGTAATTGATGTGCCTGTCAAAAATCCTCAAATATAGAACAACAAACTCGAGGTTCTAATTTGCCGAGTCAATAAATGAGCAGTGGTCTTAATAATTAGTTGTAGACCAACGAGTCTGTGTTGAAGACTGTAATTCTATTTGGTACTAATACGATGATACATTGGAAGTTCGCCTATGACCATTCGTCGACTCTATCATATTGGGATCTTAATATATCTACAATAAAAAACAATATCAGCTATACTCAGTGCTTGCTATACGATGCAATTTCTCGATGGGAACCGGATGTTCTAATTATTTTTTACGTCTCGTCATGGCATGTATTTCATTTATGTTCTGCAGAAGGGAATGAGGGAAGCCGAGCTCGTGGCACACACTGTGAGGTCTCATGGGGTCACAGTCGCGAGGACACACATGCATGACTGGTTGATACTGATGCTTCTTGGGGTGATTTTAGTCATTCTGAAGATAATCAATCCATTTTATCGCTTTGTTGGGAAAGATATGATGTCTGATCTCAAATATCCCCTGAAGAGTAACACAGTACCTGTATGGCTTGTGCCAGTAAGTTGATACCTTGATTGCTGAACTTGACTTTTTCCTTCTTTAGTAAAGCCATTGATGTGATGCCATGTATTGATTTCTATGATGCACTCACACGTATATGTCGCCGACACAATAATTAAAATCTTTAAAATTCTTCATTTATATAATATAAATTTAGTTTTATAGTTGTTTTTTATTTTAAATCATTTAAATATGAGTACCAATTCATTATTTAATAATAATTTTGAGTTAAAAATATATTATATTTCGAATAAAAAAAAAAAAAAAAAAGACTGGTAGAATGTCCAACACATGTCTGTGTTGTCTGTGCAATAGAGATTGATTATCTTAGAAACTCCTTAGATTTATGCAGTGCTGTTACCAGTAGCAGTTTTCCTACTCTTCTATGTTCGCCGAAGAGATGTCTACGATCTTCATCATGCCGTATTAGGTAAATAATATTTTTGCATCTGCAATTTTTTACGAGGATTTGCATCAATTAACAAAATCAAAGTGGATGATTTTGACATTCTCTCATACTATGAAGCTGTCTTTGTCAGCAGGGATTCTATTCTCAATCTTGATAACAGGGGTTCTTACTGATGTAATTAAGGATGCAGTTGGTCGCCCTCGGCCAGACTTCTTCTGGCGATGTTTTCCAGATGGAAAGGATGTAATGATTTTTTACCTGATCATTCAAAACCTTGAAGCAAGTATTGCTAGATCATTTTCATTGCAGACTGTTCTGCCTAATTAAATTGACTGTCTTTTCAGGCTTATGATCAATGGGGAAATGTTGTTTGCCATGGTGACAAAAGTGTCATAAGGGAAGGACATAAGAGTTTTCCTAGTGGGCATACTTCATGTAAGCAGTAAATATCTATTATCAGCACGTTAATATTTTCCAAAAGATTAAGAGTCCGTTTGATTGCGAAAATGGAATTTGAGTGGAAAGAAAACGAATTCCAGGGAATTGAATTGCCTATAAATTGTTTTCCCAGGAATTGTAAATTATTGTGTTTGATTGGTATAATTTTTCATGTAAAAAATGTTGAAATAGAAGTATTTTTTTGTGTTCGTTTAGTTTTGTTTTACATGAAAATTGGCAATTAAAGGGATATAATTTATTGGCATTGAGGATGAAATTTGTTTACATTGCCAAAAAAAAAAGGTCAAAAAAATCATCTATCTTTTGGTGTTTGTTTGGCTTTGTTTTACATGAAAATTGTCAATTAAAGTAAAATATTTTTTTAATTAGGGATAAAATTTGTTTTCATTGCCAATCCCACATAAAAACCAAGAAAAATCCTACGTGGCAAGACAACTAAGAAATTCATTTCCATGGAAATAAAAAAGCTATCAAACACCCTTAAAATTGGAAAATCTCTCCTATCAAACACACCCTAAATTACTTGTTGACAGTTTTGGGATATTCAATGGGGAAAGTGGACAGTCTCAATATTTTCATCGATGTTAAAGCCCTCTTGAAAGTGGTTCATACAACCTATGGACAAGCTTGCGCTGATGAAATGCCTCTGCCATTACTTGGCTTTTAGTAGATAGATTGCTCTTGTCAAAAGCAATTTATAAACTCTATTTTTATTGCTGCTCTGTGCTTCACCATGTCATACCTACATTTTTAGTTAACAAAGGCTTCCTAAAGCATCCTCTAGCTTTTCACCCTTTTCCCCCCTTTTGGTAATCTTATTGTAATGTTTATTGTATATCATTTAACCTTCCTTGCTCCAAATTGAATGGCGTGTTCATGTATTTCAATCAGAAAATCTAACAGAGACATTATTGTGGAGATTCTGACCAAAGAATTAGATATTCCATGCCCTCGGAGAGTTCCTGTCATGCTAAGTGACTGGCCTATCCTTTTTTCCCCCACAATTTCTACACCTTTCACTTAAACACAAACTATGTTCCATTGCTAGTTCCATGTAATAGCATTGCTGATTCTCTCTCTCTCTCTCTCTCTGTGTATTTTGCAATGTTTCTTTGGGAACATTAAAAAATTTAAGAGGGCAAGGATATTTTAGATGGTAACGATGGGGGCATCCTTCCCAGTTTTTCCTTTCAATTTTCATGCTACCTCCTCCCATAGTTATGTAATCTTAGGTCTCTCAGTAATATCTACACTAATTACTTCAAGTCCGAATGACCGCATGTCATCTTCTAAAAAACCTAAATAGATCCTTGAATCTAATTTTTCTACGATGGGACTTGAATTGAACATGCAGGGTCTTTTGCGGGGCTGGGCTTCTTATCACTGTATCTATCGGGGAAGCTAAAGGTATTTGATAGGAGAGGTCATATTGCAAAACTCTGTTTAGTTTTGCTTCCTCTACTTGTTGCATCACTGGTTGGCATTTCTCGAGTGGATGATTATTGGCACCACTGGCAGGATGTATTTGCAGGAGGTTTACTAGGTTTGTCTATTACATTCCTACGTTTGTTGTTTTTATCAGTTGAAAGCTAATAATAACATGGGTTCACAGTTTAATTGGTTTAATGGAAGTATTCTTTGCAGGTCTAGTGGTAGCCACATTTTGCTATTTGCAGTTCTTCCCACCTCCGTATCACGTTGATGGTATCTTCTGCTGATTTTACTTATATAGTACTCGGCTCTTGTTTTTGCAATTATATTGTTTGATAAAAGCTCGTGATTAGTGTGAACGATTGTTCATTTTCAATAACATTGCAATAATTATTTCCCTGAGAGCCCGTGCATTCTTTCTTGTTAGGTTGGGGGACATATGCGTATTTCGGGATATTGGAGTCGCGCTCCAATGTAAACAACTTAAAGACCTCTGAGGCCATGGTTGAAATCCAACAAAATGAAAGAAAAAGCAATGCTGTCATAGGGATATCGTCATCTGGTAGTCCCAGCTTACCAGTTGAAGATTTAGAATCTGGAAGGAGGTAGTTTTTGACTCTTGTATCAATTCATCTGTGCTTTCTAGTTTTGGTAGAAATATGTATAAAAATATGCATCTACTAAAAAATCTTCTCACTCAATTATGTTCCTTGTAAAGATTAGTTCTTCCATCTTTGTGTGAATTTCTGCCATGTCTGTTTACATGAGTAGATAACTATAGGTGAATGGAACAACGGTATCAAAGGTCATAATCATAAAGCTCTTGCTCGATGAAGACCTTCGTATAATTGACAGTGGTATTAGATAACCGAGATTCACTATTTAATTGAGAATCAGACATACACATCTCAATTAAATAGTGACATGGAGTATTGAGTTTCGTACTTATGAAAGTAATTTAGCCCTGTTTGATAGGGATTAAAATTAGATTTGTAGTATAATTTGATAAAAATTGATGAAATGCGTGATTAAAAAACCGTGAGTCCTATGAAATGTGTGATTAAAATTAATTATTGACTTTAATTTAGATTAAAATTGAATTTTAATTTTCACCAAATGCGACCTATGATTACATCATAACTATTAAATTGAGAACCATGTTGCACGGGAAAAAAAAGGAAAAGAAAGAAGGGAAAAAAACACGTAGATTAGTTAAAGTTGTGATGAAGTAACTTTGTATATATTAAAAATTAATGATTGGAGGGTTTTACTTATAATAATTACAAAAGATTTCTTAATTCACCTAAGCTAAAACAAACTTCAGCTCTACACTACCACCCTTCACCTCACCATTCTTGCATCCCACGTTATTTTAGTTCATAACTAACTTCTTCAAACCTTAATTAAGTCACCCATCATCTTACATTTTATTTTCTTGACCTACATACCTCGAAATACAAACACAAATATGTATTTTCAAGTTAAATTTCACATCTGATTTGACATTTATCATTAAGTTAACGCTAGAAGAATAACAATTCTCTATATCCTTGGCCTTTGTAGAGAATGTTTTTCAAGTTAAATTATTGTCATACCAAAACACCATTGACTTTCATGATCACCACCAACTTTGAGGGACAAAACAACTTTAACTAACCGCATAGTTGGTACAGTAGGTAGGTGTTTTCTCTTAACGGTTTTGGATAGGATTTTTTTTCCCCTCTCACGCACCTTTTTTTATTTTTTATTTTTTTATTTTCCCCGCCAAAAATTTGAAATGCTTCTAATCCAAGCAATTCAACCATATGTTTCTGAAAGATCGAACGGTTACAAGTTTTCTATTCACATTTATCTACTGTAGACCGAGATGTAGGGATAATTATTTTTCAGCCTTTATATTTCCCCTCCTATTACTACAAGTTCCAACTCACAAATCTTTCCCTCCCTCTTTCTATGGAATTCACGGAGTTGTAAACTCCCCCAGCTTCAGGTGATTGATTCCAATAAATCACCGAGTCAATTGAATTCTATTAATGTGTTTTCCAGTCAAATTTCATAATTCATTGGCGTTTTCTGTTAATTAGTGGAATGCAAGAGAATAATTCTTCGAGTGAAGCCCTCACCGGCAGCTCCACATCCGCGGTGTCACTTCAGCGCTTCACTAGCACCAATCCATTTCTATCTCCTACATCTCCGACTTACCTGAACCCCAATCCCTACCGCTACTCCACACTTTTCCCGCAGAACTACTCACCAAATTCTCCCTCTGAAACCGCCTCGTTCGACGGCGGTGATATCGCCGCCACCGAAGAGAGCCTCCACGAAGCTAGCCGCATCCTCGAATATCAGCAGCTCTATAATCGACATACCGTCTGCCTTGCTCGCCTCCACGAGTATATCAATGAAGTTGATTCCCTCCGCTGCGAGAACAACTCCCTCCGCCTGTCCAACGCTGATCTCACCCGCCGTCTCACTCTCCTTGTCAACCAGAATTGCCTTCTCTCTGATTTCAACCGCCTCAACATCGTCCCTTCCCCCACTGTCTCCTTTCCTACATACGCCACTCACGTGACCTCTTCTCAACCTCTTATAGAGGAGAATCACATGCAACGGACCCCAGAGCGAGTCACAATTCCGAAGAGTATCTCGGTGCGTTCCAGCGGCTATCTGAAGACTCGAATGGACCAAGATGTGACTCGCCAACAAGTAGCTGGTGAACCTGGTCTTGCATCGGTGAGTCAGCTCGATCTCTAATGTACCATTTCAACGTGAATAGCTATCACTGTGTAGTGACGTCATAATCTAATTTCTCTTAAAACCGGTAATACGAATATATTCTGAATGCTCGATCTATGGACCGAGGTTTTTATTATTTTGTTTCATTCCATTGATTGATTGATCTGTTCTATTTTTTCAAAGTTTGCCTCAGTAACTCAACCAATAACAGAGAGGAAAGTCTGTAATTTAATGTGATGGGGAAATAGATCATGTCTAATTGTAGCAACTTTTTAATAATCTGAAATCATCCCTAACATTTGAATTAAGAGTTCAGTCGATAATCTCACAATTTGTTTTTTAACATTTCTATTTGCATTAAGAGTTTAGTTTGATTTCTCTATCAAACGAATAAAATCAACAATAACATTCTCTCTAATTCTGCCACATTATATTGTTAACAAACCCCTGTCTCGTCCTTGTTTGTACCTAAATTGTTGTTTACCTTTCTGGTGGGGTTTGTTAATACGTACTGCAGCAACGGGTGTACGTACCAGGGAGCAAAAGGGAAGAGGAAGCTCTGGAATTTGAAGTGTACAACCAAGGAATGTTCAAAACAGAGCTGTGCAATAAGTGGCAGGAGTCTGGTGAATGTCCTTATGGAGACAATTGCCAGTTCGCGCATGGTATCAAGGAGCTGCGTCCAGTGATAAGGCACCCTCGCTACAAGACTGAGGTTTGCCGTATGGTTCTCGCGGGAGACATCTGTCCCTATGGTCACCGCTGCCATTTTCGCCACGCGCTCACCGAGCAGGAGCGGCTCATGGCAATGGCACCAGCACCGCGTTAGTTGGTTCATCCGCACAGGAGAGTTTATGAACTCTGGGGTGGGCTTAATTTGGTAAATCTGGATGAAAATATCGTTTAATAATTGTTGTTGCTATTAGCATGCATGATTTACGTACGAAATACTGGATAATTACTTAGTTATAGCTTGTAAGTATGAAAAAAATGTGAAAATATATACTCATATTGCAAGAGTAGTTCAAGATTATATGTTTAGCTAGCTTCTGATACGGTATTATATATAGCTGATACAAAAGTATTAAATATGAGGAATTGAGATAACATTTGAGATTTTCATACATAGTGTGATAAGGGGTAGCCGAAATGTTAGATTCCCAACATCTGTCCATTGATCAACTTTTGAAAGCAATGTCTTTGTCAATTCCCTTCCTTAACTACAAAGTATAACCATTCTGACAGTTTGATTAGTTCAACGTTTATACACATACTCTGCAAATGCTTTATACATTTTCATGTTTGTGGATGAAACTTTTAAGATTAATTCTTCATAATCTATATGGGTTGCCTATACCAGTTTTGAGTAAAAAAACAAACTACGTAAATGGGTCATGGTTCTTTGGTGATTCACATTTGTCTTTTTTCATAAATTCTTCTTCACAACCACCGTTAGTTGGATGTACCAGCCAATAGAATATTGAATTGCACGTCTCAAATTAAGCAGAGATGTGCTATGATTATGCAATAGGGAACAACTTTCCTCTATCCAAAAGACAATAAGAGAAGAAAGGAGCCGTTGTTTGATAGAGAAGTAAAGGTAATGGATAAAGTAGGCCTTTCTTTGACATATTTAATGCAGTGCAAAATTATAGAGCTATAATTCTTCAGAGAGATGCTACACTTTTGTATACATCATGCTGAATAGGCAATTTCTCATTGACTGTTGTACAAAAAAACAAAATGTCACCAGCCAATGAGAAATTGTCAACTTAGCATTATGTAAAGAACGGTGTAAACAAAGGTGTACAAGTAACTTTACGCATAATGTAATAAGCATATTGTTGGGGCCCTTTTACAAGTCAGAATTGGCTCTCCTTGGATATGGTCCAGTTATTGGGTAGTAGCAATTTCACAACCTTGTGGACGGTCGTCTAAACTCGACTTTCGAGAGGCAGTCTATATTTGGGACTATACTTAATTTTCTCTTTTGGTAGTTTCGAGCCTGCAGATGGATTAGATGGATTTCTAGGCTACTGTTTTGATGGCCCAAATTTGCTCCCTTTTTCTTATTATTTTTTAAGTACTGAACAGATCCTTTAATTTTTCCCAACATACAGACATCACTAGAGGGTGGAACCTTTCCCAGATTATTGCAGATGTATAATCTTCTCGAAAGTAATTTTTATATAATATATATATATATATATATATATATATATATATATATATATATATATACATACTTAATAAAATAA